TTGATCCATGCGCAACCGCTCCTTGAGGAATCCAGCCTGCTGATCTCGAAGCTGGACGTCTAATGAGTCTTTCATCCACTTCAGCAACACTCTGTTGAAGACTTTCCCTGGTACAAACAGTAGTTTGGTGCCTCTATAGTTCTCGCATTTGCTCAAATCTCATTTCTTTAGTATCTTGATGAGGTGTCTTCTTTCCAGTATCTTGGCACTTGTTTATCCTCCCAAATTTTCCTGAATAGAGTGTGGAGCATGCTTGCAATTACTTTTGTGTCTGAATTCAGTGTTTCAGCTGCTTTATTGCTAGGTGCTGATGTTTTCCTACTCTAGATTTGTCCGATGGCCATCCTGATTTCTTCGATCGTCGGTGGAGTAATGTATATAGAAATACATATGCGACACCATATGCAAAGAAAGTGACCGTGACTAAGCCGTAAACAATTGTTTATTGTACAAAAATAACAGACAAAAAATTTCACTCTGCTTTTATAACACCTAATTATCCAACCCTATTTAGTTGGGCTAGAAGGTTGTTCCCAAAAGGATAAAATGCAGGAAGAAATGGCATACATTGAAGAATGCCTTATAAAAAAGGATATCCAAAGAAGTTTATTATAAAACACGGAAAATCCCAAACAAATAACTGTTAACAGAACACCTGTCTTTATCCGACTTGGATTAATAAGTGAATAGATTTCTGGGAGGATTTATAAAAATATTAAAGCAGAGCTAAGGATAAGCTTCCATGCAGCTTAACTATTTTCGGTTTATAACACTAAATGTTCCTCAAATCAATCAGATCATTACCCTTTTGAGGTCACCACAAAATGTATTTACGAATTTACATGTACCTGTGGAAGCATTTATATACGAAGGACTGAAATAAGGACGTATACAAGGTTTTCGGAACATATTTCCCGTAAGTTGTTCCTGGAAGAAAGTAACGTTTTTACAAGCGCGATTACTAGACATTTAATAGATAGTGAAAACAACGCAGATGTCTCAAAAGCACTCAAAATAACTAACAGGCAATGTACACCACTTTTACTCTATTTTTCAGAGGCCACAACCATCAAGCGCTTCCAACTTGATCTTTGTACACAGAAAAAAGTATGAAACAACTAACGTTGTCATGGTAAAACAGTTATAAAATTTTAACGCTTTTCAGTTACGTCGCCGCTTTAATGTAGTTCATAACTTAACGTAAAGAATCCCACAGACGTTCACTCAAGATGTTAACCTTAATTTTATGTTAAATAGGTACCTTTATTGTCATTCATTTATAAACAATTGTTAACGATTCCCTTTATTACCACTTACAACTTTAACCTCTTCTCTCTTTTTATTGATTTCATCGTCAACATATGAATACTAATAAATCTTAACTATCGTTCATTTTGTATTGTTTGTCTTAATCTCCCCATTGATGATTAGGACTGCAATTGATGAGTCCCGAAGTAAACATCAACTATAGGATGAGGTACATCCAGCTGACGAGTCCCGAATATGAAAAAACGCACGTCTTGAATTCCACTGCTATCCACCACCCATCTTTGCTTACCCATTATGTTAAATGTGTTTTTTCTCTTGTTTCTCAAGTTTTTTTTCGAACTAAACTTCTTTGATTTCATTATGTAATAGAACTTTATACAATGATGTTTTTATTGTAAATTTAGGTCGTTTGCAGCTGATGAGAAGCCTTGAACCTTAGTGAATTCACTTTATTCTGCAATACTGTTCCTCTCGCTTTATTTTTATAAAGTGATACTTATTTAAATAATCTAATTTGTTGTTGTGAATAGATGTTTTGCCAACCTAAAATTACAAGATGACCGGTAGAGCTACCCCGTGTATAGTAGAGACAAGTACCTACCTCAGACAATGAAAGATGGTCGAGCAGTTTCTTGCATTGGTTTAAGTTAGCAATTAACATCGTTGGGTAGATGGAGATATATAAAATCCGAAGTGGAAAAATAAAAATATTTTTGACACAAAGTTTATCAATATGGTCAAACAAATACATTATTTTCACAGTTGAAATCATGAGTCAATTGAAACTAGACCACCATCGAAAACCTGGAAGCACTGCTTTAAGGCCGTTTCGTCCTATTATGGGACTCCTCACTGAAGACAATTGGTGAACGGTTGTTCAAAATCGTGGATTGGTTGAAGTTAGACATTAACACCATTGGATGCCGGCTCAGTGGTCTATCGGTTAAGGGCTTCGGCTCGAGACCGGTAGGTCCTGGATTCGAATCTCGCGGGTGCGGGTTCGTGGATGCGCACTGTTGAATAGTCCCATAATAGGACGAAACGGCCTTAAAGCGGTGCTTCCAGGTTTTCGATGGTGGTCTAGTTTCAATTGACTCATGATTTCAACTGTGAAAATAATGTATTTGTTTGACCATATTGATAAACTTTGTGTCAAAAATATTTTTATTTTTCCACTTCGGATTTTATATATCTCCATCTACTTTGGTGCCTATATTTTGGGTATGCTTATAGCTTACATCACTGGTTAGTTTTAGCTGGATAAATATTGGAACCTAGAGAGTACCAGTCAAGTGTTTTGTTATAGAACGGAATTTTTCAGCACTATCTAATTACTATATTTCCAAACATTGAACCCATTAAGTGATTTTCTTCCCGACGAGTGCTTAATTACTATATCACTGAGCTGTTAACCAATGGTTTGCTCCCTGTCATGGTCGTGAATGTGAACTATTGAAAAGTTCCATGCTTTGATGTGACAGTTGTTCAACACTCTTTATGTCTCAATAGTTGTCTAACTAAGGTCAATCAATAATGTAAATTACAAATTGAACAATCTTCAAAATCCTCTTATACTAAAAAACATATTTGTTACCAAGATACCAAAAACAAAAAAATAATAAACAGTAATTTTTGTTCAAGAAATTCATTTTGTTATTATTTAGCATAATTAATTAGATAAACATTTTCTCTCTATCTGCCCTCTATTATTGTTCGTTGACGATTGACCTTTTTAACAGTCTGTCAAAAAATGTATATTTAATGATATTTAGGTTGTATTGCTAGGTTTCAAGTAAACTTTGGCGTCTTCACACATAAATTGATTGATGGATTGATTGATTAGTGAATATGTTGATTGATTGATTGGTTGGTTGACTTACTAACTGGTTGTTTATTTAAAATACATTTTAAAATTGTAACATAAATGTTAATATCTGAAATGTCTCCTCCTTTTCTAGTTTATTCTTGCTTTATTCACACAAACCAAAAAAAACAGAACAGAATGAATGTTCAATATTTGAACTAGCCATACATTTGGTTGAATGAAATCAGTTACTAACCAGTTCACACTTCTAAATGATCTAATCTTTTTTTTCTAAAAGTTTTATCAATAAGGATAAATGATAGCTAATGAAATATTGAAATTATTGTCTTCATAATATTTAATTGAATAATTATCAAAGTAACAATATATATACAATGGACAGTTAGGATGCAGCTGGACGATCTAGACTTCGCGGATGATCTGGTTCTTCTATAACATACGCAGTAACAAATGCAGGACAACCAATGTAGCAGCAGCCTCAGAAGCAGTAGGTCTCAACATACACAAAGGGAAAGGCAAGATTCTCCGATACAACACAGCATACAACAATCGAATTACACTTGACAGGAGGATGTGGAGACCTTTGTATATCTGGACAGCATCACTGATGAACACGGTGGATCTGATGCAGATGTGAGGGGCGCGGATCGGCAAAGCAAGAGCAGCATATTTACAACTCAAGAACATCTGGAACTCAAAACAGTTGTCAATCAACACCAAGATCAAAATTTTCAATATATGGGGCGGAGACGTGGAGAACTACGAAAACCATCATCCGGAAGATATGAGTGTTTATTAACGGTTGTCTACGCAAAATACTTCGAATCCGTTAGCTAGACACTAACAGCAACAACCTACTGTGGGAGAGAATAAACCAGGTTCCAGTAGAGGAAGAAATCAACAAGAAGCACTGGAAGTGGATAGGACACATATCGGAGAAATCACCCAACTGCGTCACAAGGCAAGCTCTCACATGGAATCCTGAAGGTCAAAGGAGAACAGGAAGACCAAAGAACACATTACGTCGAGAAATGGAGACAGACATGAGAAGAATGAACAAAAGTTGGAAAGACTTAGAAAGGAAGGCCCAGGACAGAGTGGGTTGGAGAATGCTGGTTGGCGGCCTATGCCCCATTGGGAGTAACAGGCGTAAGTAAGTAATTAAGTAAGTAAGTACATTTACCTTCAACAATAAAGATATTCAATTAAAACTGACTCTTGATAATGAATATTTGAGAACAAAATTTTTGAATTACTGTTACTTTTCGAAATAATCATTCTCTAATCATATCGTCTGTAGGTGATTTATTCATTGACTTTATTGAAATAAATTTCAGTAATATCACGATTTGACGTAAGTTTGAAATGTATACCAGTCCCTGACGCAAACTAAAATATCTAATTTTTTAGAATCATTGATAAGAAATCCCTGAAATTTAAAGAATTATGTTTTGCTCTTCTCTTTACATATAACTGTAGAGTTTGTAAAAAACAACAGTCGTTCTATAAATACTTAAAAGTACAATTCTAATATCAAATACATTACATTAGAGCGAGTCCACTGTGTTCTCTGTCTTCAGTACTGATTTAGTGGTGACTAGTAGTGTACTCACTTGTTAGTTCTAGGAATAAATAAATCACATTATTCACTCAATACTACTAGGGTTTCGAAACATCTTAATTACGTAACATTATCTAAAACGATTCAACTACAGTCTTATGAAAAATTGCTAACAGCTAGAGAACTATTGAGAATTGGGAGGCATCTGCCAACTACTTCGCTTTAGTTTGACCCAATACCTAATTTCTCTGTCTCACATAGCGAAAGCTTCAAGACACTGAACCATTCCATATCCAGCAGCTCGTATGTATTCAACCTAAGTTGATTTCCTTTAAATACGATTGTCCCCATCCATTTTAAAATGTGAGTTACTTCAATATTTTCAAGTTCTATTTTTAGAAAAACAATTTTGCAAACAATCTATGTTTTCGGGTTTTTGCCTCACTTTAATGACTCAATAGTCTATTGGTTAAGCGTAAAACTTAAATGTTCTTGACTCAATCAGTGATGGAACCATGTGTATACACTAATCTATTATTGTATACAAAAACAAAGTAAGTGCCCCTTGCTTCCTGATTTTCAATGATACCTCTAATTAACATCAGTTATTGATGAATACCACACGTAAATAATCTGCAATCTGATTTATAGAAGATATTCATTATAAAATCAAACATATTTAATAAAGAAAACAATATTTATACTTATGTATAGATGTATTCACTTCAACAACAAACAAAAAAACGAGAGAAAAACAATCAAACAAACAAGAAAGAAAAGAAACAAAATAAAATTTTAAAAAAACGGCAAGTGTTTAGGACAGAGATGAAGATGAACAAGTCTGTATTATTGTTATTATTGTTATTATTAACTTCGTCATTATCATCATCATTGTCATTATTAGCCGCTAATACAAAAAAAAGAATTCATTTGTAACCAATATATTAATAGTCATAGTAATCTTTAATGTAATAATTACCATAAGATTACTTGAGTGATATATATAATATCATCATGTGTAGTTATTGTTTATTTGAATATGTTTTACCTTATGTATGGTTTTTCATTTAATGTAATATTCTGTAAAATAATATAGAATGTGTATGTGTATATTTTCATCAGTAGTATATTCATCTGTACTTCTCTTTGAATAATTCTCGTTGTTCATAGGGATGTATATCAATTAGGCACATATTAACATTGTTAAAATTGCTAATATGATGATCTCTTATTGTTTCCAGTTTGTTTGTTTTTTAAAAAGAGAATATAATAAGATAATAGAATAGAATATTTAAAGGTTTACAGTTACACAAATAAAATTGTCCACAGTATTCACAAGATTTCTTTTTATAAGGGAACAAGAGAACGAGAGGGAGAGGGAGGTGGGAGTATCAAAAAGTAATCATTTTATTATATTTAACTATCATCATTTCTTTTGTGTACATATTAGTTCTCAATTGTTTTTTAACTAAATTTTACTTGATCTCCAAATTTCACTACTTCTCCCTCTCTCTCCTCACATCTTTAAATTTATCAGATATGCAACACACACACACACGGTAAAAACAAAATGAAATTACAATAAAATACAGAAATATGTCATCACCTTTAGATCTCTTAAAGCATTACACACATACAGGATTATGTATCGTTTTCTTTTTCTTCTTGTTATAAAACTTAGCAACATACACTTCAATTGAATGAAAAGGAAAAAAATTTTTTTTTGGGAAAATGACTCGTTGAAAAAATTACAAATATTATGTAATATTATTATCATTAATATAAAATGAAGGTAATATCAGTTAAAGATATTGACAAATAGCATAGATTGGCGTAAATACATACATACACACACACAGCAAAGAATATATTATAAGAGTGCCTAATTGAAACTTACACTTACACATGAAAATATGAAGCCAACAACAAAGAAACAAAATGAAAGGGAGTATAGAAAAAACAAAGTAAAGAAATAAACAAATTGTGTATACACAATCAATCTTCTTATAGCTTCAATTATGTACAATAAATATGGATCCATAAGATTCATTTATCTACTTTTTCTTAAGTATTTTATACTATTCAATACAAATTGTGCTCATTTCAAAATAAGATTTATGAAATGAATATAGATAATGAATGAAAAAGAATCCAACTTCCATATCAGATTGCATACTTTCATTATTATTAGTAGTAGTAGAAGTAGTATTTGAATGATATGACTTATAAATAGTATGAATTATGTAATTTACAATGTTATAATTATTTCATCAATTTCACTTTTTTTTCTCTTACCCTTTTCAATCACCAGTAGTACCACTAATCATATGTTCTTGTTCATTAGATGAAGAACATAATAAATTTTTAGATAAATTTGTTATACTATCAACTAAATGTTCATTAGATAATAAAATATCTGAATGAATTTGTTGTTGTGATGGTTGTTGATTTTGTCGATGATGTTGTTGTTGTTGAAGAGAATGAATAGATAATCCTGTACGTGTAGAACGATTTATGTTTGTCATTGAATTTGATCCTGATACTGATACACCGGCTGCCATTGCTGCATTATTAAGTAGATTATTGAATTGTGTAGAGAAGAGTAATGATGAATTTGATGATAATACAGATGTTGATGATGGTGAAATTGATCCTGTCAATGTGGATGAACATCCTATTCTGTTTCCTCCACCTGTTACATCTCCTCTGTTTGAATTTATATTTGCACCAGCGTATACAGCTGCCGCTGCGGCTGCAGCTACTGCCATTGCTGAAATAGATGCAGTGGAATCTGATGATGAGTTTGACGACTTACTGATCGATAAATTATTTGGTTGATTTAAAAAAGGATTTGAAATAAATGAATTATTATTATAATGACATGATGTATTTGTTGCATCATTAGCTGAACATGAATTAAATGAATTTGACATTTGTAATAGGTTAGATGAATTATTCATGTTATTACTACTAATATTAACATGAGTATTCCCAGTTAGTGAATTATTTCTTCGTGAGGTAGATCTTTCTCGATGAGTTTTTTCATTTAATGGACTATTTGTATAATTTGATTTAGTGGTTATACAAGGATTTGTTGGTACGTATTGATTATTGTTAGTACCAGTATTTGATGTTGGGGATGGAGGTGAAGAAGCTGACGATGATGATGCTCCACCAGCACCTCCTCCGCTGCCTCCACCAGATGCTGTAGTGTTACAATTTTCACTAGTGACTGTTTTAAAAACTCCTGATTGGAGAACAAGTCGGCCTTGCATTAATGGTTTAACATAACGTCTTCGAGCATTAATGAACCAATTATTCACTGTTGTACGTGATAATCCAGTTTCCATAGCAAGCATCATTTTTTCTTCTTCTGAAGGATATGGTTCTCTCAAATGATCAACTAACCAACCGAATAGACGTTTCCGTGCTGGAAATGGTAGATTAGTTCTAGACAACCCAACAGCTCGTCGAATACTAAATAATGCACCTGACCCAACGCCACTAGGGGATGATGATGACGACGATAAAGGCGCTGTTGTCGTTGGCGTTGGTGTTGATGACGTGGTCATTAATGTAGTAGTTGCATTATTATTGACTGACAAATTTATTGATGAATTTTCATCAGATTCTGTTGAATTTGAGTCGCCCATATTACTATTATTACTATTATTAGTTCCAGCATTATTATTGTTTATCAATGATTCAGTGAAATTTCGATGGTAATGATGATGATTTCGTTTTTGATCATGATTCATGGTGGAACTAGGTGATAAATTCGTTCGACTAGCTCGTCCACTACTAATACTACTATTACTTCCAATCCCTGCTTTGGTTCTATTCGAATTATTACTATTATTGTTGGCATTCATCATATTCCCAATGAAATTATGATTGTATGATTTATTTAAAAACTTTAGTTCATTATTTGTATGTAGATGAGCAGTGTTCATCTCTTTGTTTGGTGATTGGCCATGTTTCATTGGTTCTAGCAAATCTAATGTAATTGAAAAATGAAAGAGAAGTAAACAAAAAGTCAGTGAAACATTTATTAATTTAGTTAAATCGATTGAAATTGCAACTGTACTGTTGATTGCTAATGCAGTAGTTTTAATAGTCAAATATTTACCCCGAAATTTAAGTATTCTAGGTTTTCAATAGTGCCTCAACCGAGATCGATCTATGACAAATGCGGCTTACAAATTTACTAAATGCCTAAAATATTTGGACGATACTGAATAAAATTATACTATGTACAACTTTCTCACAGATGACATGATTAAGTAGTAAGTTAGAAATTCATTATGACATGATTTGTCTAAAAGAAATATTTACGACGATGTATCCTTATTATGACCTTTGAGAAGGATGTGAACAACATAGTCATGACGTAACTCTGGCCTCAACAGCTTATGGTCATAAGTTTCTTTTTTTTCAGAAAGCGCGAACCCATTTCTACTTAAACCCGTACCTAGGAGTAAAACCGGAACTTTCTATGAGACCTCCAAGTGGAGAGTCTGTAAGAAACCCTGGACTTAAGTTTTTGTTTGTTGGCACTCGCAAGTAAGGCGCCTACACAATCTTGAAGGAATCGATGTTTCCCATGGGATCCGAACCCTCATCATAAACGCTCGCAGACCGAGGTGTTGTAAGTGGGCTTATCGGATTGAAACTGATCTCCTGTAGGACTAAGAAGGAAATTTAAGCTCATGGTATCCTACCAATAATCTACACCAAGCATCCCAACATAGTGCACAAGATGTCAGGTCACTTATGCAGTTGATAGAATTGTAATTTGATCGATAGAACTCGATCAATATGAAAAGGACTAGACGAACATACAATCGGTTACCACCAAGTGGTCAATAAAGTGAAAATCAAGGAATTGTTAAAATCCATAAATTCAATAATTTCATTCTCAATAATTCAACTTATTACTATATACATTAAAAAATGAGGTTGAATCAATACTAGGGACTTGATGTACTTAAATTTCGTCTTTAAAACAAATGATGCAGTAGAATAATATTGTGGAAACAATTAAAGACTCTTGATGCAGCTTAAAAGTGTACAGAATTTATTTCATGTTTTCTTTAGTAATAAAATGAATCACTTCACTACATTTCAGTTTTTATTAGGATAGAGACTGACTATGTTTGCTAAATTTTATGGTTTACATTACGAATTGACTTGAGTTGGAAAACCATTGAAAACCAAGAAACATTCGACTTGGGTCGAGTGATCCATTTCTGAAAGTTTGATCGCTAACGATCTCACATACTGTTTTTCCGAACAAATAGAATTAATTTTTAACATTGAACCCTAAGAGACTTGCCGATTAGAAAGCATAAAAACAGTGTATTACGAAACCAGGTATATCTCAGGCAGTAAGCCCATGAATGACACTGCCAAACTAGATCACTTCAAAGGTGTAAAATGTTTAAAATGGGTGCAATAACGGAGTGAAATGAACTCAGTAACTACGTCATCTGCTAATCCATCACCCTTGGGAGAACAATCAATCCAAAAGTCACATGAACAATATCAAAGTATACGATAATCTAGGTATTCTGATGTAGAAATCAATTAGGACTGGTTAATAATTTCAGTCAATTGCATTTAGAATAACAAACTACAGTCTGTTTAAGGCGACCAGCCGACAAAGTATAAGATAAGATGCTCACTAATGATGATTCCATACTAAATCAAAACAGATATTCATTGCTTCCTGGACTTCAAACGTTACCTAACTTAATTTAGTCCATGATGCAAACTACAAAATTCCAATTACTTTCTAGTATACTTTCAGTTGAATAATAATGATGACTACCAATGACTACCATCATTGGGTTAGTGTTCAATATTAATAATATAAATGAAAACATTTAGTTAATTGATCCATCATTTCATCTTATAAAATAGTTTACTCAAAATGAATTTTCGAAATCATTTGTATCTACCATATATTACATAACTAAACTATTATCTTGTTTCCTCATAACTACATTTCTTATAAATAATTATTATCAGAAGGGGTTTTATGGATATTTCAATATTTTCATAGTTGAAATCATTAGTCGATTGAAGCTAGACCACCATGGAAAACCTGGAAGCACTGGACGGCCGTTTTGTCCTATTGTGGGACTCCTCAGTGTGAACATCCACGATCTCGCCTCGCTTCAATTGACTTATGATTTCAATTATAAATAATTTATTGTAAACAATATCAAATAATAACAAACAATAATAAATCATATTCATAATGTGAAAAATAGACACTTTTCAAGTTTTAACACTATTTATTTATCAACATCATCATCATCATCATCATGAACATTTTTTTTTAAATGTCATTCTATTTTACCCCTCTTTTCATACATCAAATTACTGATTGATTGACTAAACAACTGACTAGTTGAACAATGTAAACAACTTAACTCTGTCAGTCAGTAAATAATCTAACCTACTTATGTATATGTATACATATATCCCTTATGACAGACAGATACTCTTATTAGTATTAGATTATTGAAAATAGTTTTGGGTGGCATCTCTTAGTTCAATTTTCATAGACAATTATTTTTTTTTAGGACATTTGGCAGGCAGATAGGTAGAGGTAGGCAGTTGTCTGAACTATGCTGAGTTGTATACACTTAAATATACAAACATATTATAGTTAGCATGGAGATTTTTATAGGTGATTTTTAACGACATTTTTGATTGACAGGCAAAATATTATCCCTTCAGTGAATATGTACGTACTTACATGTGTAATTGATAGACACACTAACTTAAATGACTGACTGATTGATTGATAGAGAGAGATGGATAATTTGTACATGAGTTTGTATGTATGTGCTCATTCGTTTTAAAAAAATGGATAAAATAACATACATTTACTATCCGTGAGAAATATAATCATGCATTCTGTTTAACTTATATTGGGTGGTGGAATACCCTGTTTCTTTCTTTCTCTCTCTCAATCTTATGTCTTTCACACTCACATTATATCGTTCTGTGAAGAAGGAAATGAGAGAGAGAGGACAATAAGTAGAAAGAATATTGGATGAATGAATGAATAAATAAATGGATGAATGATTGATTGACTGATTTTGACTGAATGGGATAGTAGAAGCTAAAAGTGACTAGCTCACTACATCCACGTAAGCATGTTTCAATACAATTTAGTATATTCTTGAAGTAACAAGATAACATAAGAGAGAACAAAAATTACAACACATTGAGAAGAATAGTTAGTAACACTAACACGATGAAAATAATAGTAGTAGTAATAATCCTATCACTATTGGTATTATTACTACTGTTAGTGACAACAGAAACATTTAAAACAGAATAGAAGAACAATAGTCACAATAGAACATCAACCAAAAGTGATTGAATGAATCAAAAACCCAAAAACAGAAAACAATGTGATATATTTTACTAGAAAATGAATGAAGGAAACCAATAGAATTTTTAAATAGGTAGATAGTTAATGTTACAAACAATCCAATCTATTTATCTATCTATCTATCTACCTATCTATCCATCAATCTATAATTTATAAGTGTAAATACATGAATACGAGTGTATCTATATTGTTTCTATAATTCGTAGTAAGAAAATTATTCACTTATTCATATGTATAAATGTACATATACATATAAAGTAACATTTGATTGACATATCTCTGACATGAAAAGTCATTGATGTAGTCAGGTTTTCATAGAAAGCAATAACAAGACAACAAAACAGTACAAAACAAATGAAATATAACATTGTATTACATGTACACTTATAGATAAACAAAAAGAAAAATGTAAAGAAAAAATTATGAATAACTGTAACTGGGAGAAATGTTCATCATGTTCATATTCAATTGTAACTAACATATATGGATACATTGAATATAAAAAAATTTTCATATTACTATGTATACTTGTTTGTTTACTTCTTTTTTTTAAAAAAATTACACAATTTAGTCATTATTAAATTACTGAATAACATGACGACAATAACTATGGCGATAATAATGCTAATTACATGAAGAGTAATCACTATCAGAAAGGGGGTTTGTGGCGATTTGAGTAATTTTATATAGTCGAGATCATCAGTCAATTGAAGTTAGACCGCCATGGAAAACCTGGAAGCACTGGACGGCCGTTTCGTCCTATTATGAGATCGTGGATGCACACTGATGAGGAGTCCTACAATAGGGCGAAAAGGTCGTCCAGTGCTTCCAGGTTTTCCATAGTGGTCTAGCTTCAATTGATTCATGATCTCAACTATGTAAAAAAAAGTAATCACTATGTTAAACAAATAGATAGAATACACTACTCATCAAGAGTATAAGTAGTTCAAAACGAAATTAGTCACTTTGAGTTGTCTATTTATGCTTAAAGATTCCCATGTATCACCAACTCTTTGACTATTGAAGATATTTCAATTACCAATATCTACAGAATAACTATGTCACTAATTACGCTGTCATTGAGAATAGTATAGTTTAAATAAACTAAGCATAAAATGATGAAGAAATCAGTTCTAACTTTGAATTTCCAACGTTAGTCATTTATTGATTACTTTGTATTACATAGTTACGTAATCAAAATTACTAGTTATCTGCTTAAAATAGTCAATCATTCTTATCATTCCATCCAATTCAATTTTCTAGTGCGGATCTTAATTTCAACCAGAAAGTTAATATACTATAATGAGATAAATATTGATAAAAAGTACCTGGTAGAACAAGCTGACTGTTTTTTGTTTTGTTTCAGAAACTAGTAAAACATAAACAATTTTCTACTATAAATTTCTCTTCTTCATTCGTTTTAAAAATCTATTAAAAGTACTTTTTACTTCATAAAGCGATTAAAGAAAAGAATAATATAGGGATTTGCGGAGATAGTAGTATCTTCACAGTTGAATTCACAATGGCCATTCAGTGCTTTTAAATTTTTAATGGTGGTCTACAATAGATCGAGTAGTGAATTTATT